GATCTAAAAACACAGATAAACTACTAAAATAATATCACTATTAAATTCTGATGTTCAATAGACATCTAACGAAAAGATCTTAATATGCTGGATTTGTAAATTTATTTATTGCGGAAAATACCGTTACAGTCGTGATGATCGTTTTTCCCGTGTTTCCTATTTATTGAGTTTTTAAATGTAACAGTCCAATAAGATATTCTTATTGATATCATTTTTTTACTTGTCACTTTTGAAGTAGAGGAGTGTATATGTTGGAAAAAAGAGATAATTTCGAACGAAACCTCGAGTTTTAATTAAAATTAGACATTTTAATTACATGTTGTCGCGCCAATCACGTGTTGTATACATTATGTAAAAAAAAAAAGCTATATTCAGAATTAAATATGTGTAACCTGATAGTTGATATATAGTAGCATCGATGATGCACGTCTAGAACAGTACGCGCGGTCACCTGAACGTGCCGCAAATTCTAATCCTATTAGGGCAAAGTCTAGTTCGAACCTAAAACGGAATTATCGGCTACCCGGGTCTAATACCGTAATTGCCATATATATCCCTGGATTATAATGTGATCGCTGACAAGTTTCCGCCATGATAATTTAAGCGCATAATTCTCAACAGATATAGGGTCTTACTCTTAACAATGCAGGCTTTAAACGGAGCATTGTATCAGTGGCCAACTGTAGCTATCATTCGAGACCCATCTGAAGTATCCTACGTCTCTTTTTACGTTCAAAAATAATGTATAGCGATACACTGAACACTGCCAACTTCTATTTATCTCGCAATGTCTGTATAAAAATCAACTTGAATCCTTTGCCAAATGGCAAAGTAATCTGTTTAACTTCGATATATGTACGTCTTATTTATGGGGCGTCTCACTGCGATTGCATATTTTTTAATAACCTCCGACGTTTCAATATTTGAATAATCTCTAGAAAGACACAAGAAAAAAAAAACACAACTGGATCAAAATAATTCTTTTTCCTTCACAGCATGAAATGTAGTTATTACTACTCTATTGAGCCTATTTTTTTATCATTTCTAATTTCGAATATCCCGGTAGTCTTCGTGCCTCTACCTCAATACATGATTACACACGTACATTAATCGCATCGCAAATTATTTATGGAAAATAGAACGGGGAACAAATCGCACCAATTTTCTACTCAAAGCTTTATTACGTCACGTACTAGTTCGCATACGGCACTTAATAGTTAATTTTAAAATAATTCGATGATAGTCGAAAGTTATTTTTAACATAATTTTCTGACTCATAGTCGACTGTCGAACGCGATGCAAGTCCCGCGCGAACGCGATATAAAATAGCGCAGTATATATAAATAAGATTGGATAAATCTTTTTTCCAAAGAGAGGACTTTTCAAAATATAAAAATAAAAAAATATAAAAGAGAACGAATAATACTAATCTCATAAATACAATGAAAAATGAGATATATGAATTAAAGTAGTATCGCAATATTAAGCGAAGCGCGAAGAACAGAAGAAATATATCGATATCACATTTGTCTTCATTATTTAACATGATGACATAAATGCGTTTTATGGCACTCATTACATTCATCCGCTCTACCCTAGCAGGCCACTTAAATGTGACAGGACAATTCCAATCGGCTTTGAAACAGCGATCGAATTTAAACCTCTGGCGCATTAATAATTTCGCAGCGCGATTATCATTAAGGCGTTAGTTACATGTAAAATGTAACCGCGCGTGTGCTGAATCAAAATGAACAAGATACATTTAATAATTAAGCTATTTTAATTCAGCTCACGATTTATGGGAAATAATCAATTGTTATCCGGAATAAAAAAAAAGTTGTTCTCACTTTTTTAAAATAGATTTCTCCTTTAGAATTGAAATTGCATTTTCCATGCATCAATTTGATAATTTCCTATATCTTTACTTTTGGTTAGGAAAGAAAAGTATTTAGTTATTAGAATTATTTGTATTCCGTGTAATTTAATACTAACAACAAGAAGAAAGAAAAATTGAAATAATTAACGGAGACAAAATGGCATCATCGGCAGTTCTAGATGTTAATTGATATTGCCGATTACAAAAACTTCGCTGAATAATCCCATGCGGATAAGTACGTATATTGTTTCAAAAGCCGGACGTCCGAAATGCGTTAGTTACAGATAAAACAATGCTCTTGCTTGTAATCATGCTACTATTATTCAATTGTTTCAATCTCTTCGTTATCTGTCAGCCTGATAAAATGAATAATTTAATAAATATATGTAATAGCACTCGTGTTTCATTTATTTGTTCAGAGTATTCGCGAAATAGATTTAGAATATCTAGCGTGGCAGCGCTGAATGCGTATACGTATAATGAGCCAAAGGGGCTATTATTTTATTGTATAATTATAAGATCAAATATTCAGAATATTCAGAATTGTGAGACGCATTTTCATTAAAAAATTGTAGCTAAACTCAACCGTAATAAATACATGCAAAAAATCATTAGCAGTCACTTTCGTAAACATCGTAATCGGAATTATTTTGTATTTTTCGATAAAAAATGCACGTTACTGAATAATTTAATCATGATTATCGAGTAAAAAGAATATATATATATATATATAAACTTTTAATTCTTAATTTTAATCTGATTCATATTTATAGCTTCGTTACGCAACACAACGAA